TGCTACTGCTACTGCTACTACTACTACTACTACTACTGCTACTGCTACTGCTACTGCTACTGCTACTGCTACTGCTACTCCTACTGCTACTGCTACTGCTACTGCTACTGCTACTGCTGCTGCTACACTATTATTAGTATTATTATTGTTGCCGTTCTTCTGCTATTTCTACGACTCCTGCTACTACTATGGGCACGGCTCTTGTTTGACGCCAGGTTTTGATTGCTTTTGGCCACATTTTGCAGTGAGCTTTTGCGCATTACCAGGTGTCTTGGGGGGGAAACCATGACATGTAGCGAGCTGACACGTTTTCATGTTTGGGTATGGGGCGGGCACCTGTTCAACAAAATTCTTGTCCTGGCTTCTCCACACTAGCCACAATCATTGCCAGTTAAAGTACTGTCTGACCCTGCACTAGTTGATGATCGAGTGCTGTTTCAGGCTGGAAGCCGTCAAAACCCTTGACTTCAAACTACATTGCCGAGCATGTCTTTGCGACTAAACCAGAACTTCAACGGACGTCGTTATTCATGACCCCTAGACCTGAAGGCCCAAGCAATCGAATATGACCAAACTGAACCTTCAACAGAACAATATGTTTCGGTTTGGTGACAGAAGTATTCGCAGCAACTAGTTTGAGGCCAGGGGTTGTGCCAGTCTTGCTCATAGTCTCAACGCAACTCGATCCGGTCAACTTAGTACCAAGCTAGAAAGTATTGTGAATGAAGGTGAATTTGGTCAGTTTGGAAAGGCTATGACGGACGACGACCAAACTCAAACCTCAGCAGAAGAACTTACTTGCCCCACACCATTCGCATGCATGCAGTTGCTTCCCCTTGACCCTGCCTGCCAGAAATTGTGGCGAGACATGGCTGTTTCATAGCCACTGAGGCCAGAAATGCAACAAACAAAATAGCGCTATGTTCCCCCCAAACGTGCCTTTAACAACTATGCAAGATGTGTTCAACGTGCTGAAAATGCTGTGCTGGCCACACAATCCAGATCCCTCGACATCAAGGCTACACACAAAACAACCGCATCGCGCCATAGTCCTCCTACTATCACTACTACTACTACTACTGCGACTGCTAGTGCTACTGCTACTCCTACAACGCACTACCAGCTCAAGCCTAGGACGCGTCGTTGTGTAGGAACGTGCGCGCAGAAAGTTGCTGGAGCCTAAGCAGAGTTGTCCTCTGAAAATGCGGACGGCAAGTTTGCATTCGTGATAAGAAAGGAATGCTTTTTATGCGATCAGGCAATCTCGCCAAATCAGGCAGTGAACTACAAACATGGCAGTGTTACTCCACAAGGGGCCAGGAGTGCAACGTCTCAAAGCCAACATGCCCAAGGCCCAAGGCATGCCTGAGACTAGCCCGAACAGCCGGAAGCAGCAGGACATGCGGAATTTTCGGAAGGGATCCAGACATCGGAAGGGATCCAGACAGACAGCTGAAGATATCATGTACTCATGCTTCAGCCGACAGGGTGGTCTGGCTGTTCGGAGTGCATGAAGCATGGTCGGTCGGCTCTTAATTATTGCGGGATCGGAGCAGTCAGCCTGCGCAGCAAGACGTCTTCTTGTTGTCGACTGCCATACCCAAGCAATCAATCCAGTGGAGTTCACAAGCAGACGGCAGGCTTGAAGAAGTACAATGTGGAGTCAGGCATTCTCCCGTAACGCGACCCAGTGTGTGCGCACATGTCTGGAGACATTCTTTTTCAGCGGGAGAAACACTTCACTACGCTCGGGCATGCTGAGGAAGCTATCAAGTGCCATTGCCTTGCAGCACAAAAAAATCCTCTAGTTACTCTAGTTTTAGCCGTGATTTCCACACAGGGTTGCTTACAAACGGCAGCAAAGCAGGCTCAGCTATCATGCAACCTCGGAGCGCGCTGCGAAACAAGCAGGCGAGAAAGCACATTATGAAGCTTCTTCGGCAGCATCAGCACGCAGCTGTGCAGAAAGGGGCAGGACAAATCTTTTGTCCTAGCAAGATGGAGGGAGGGCGTTAGGCGCCTGCAACTGGAGGCCAGCACGACCTATCCACATACAGCCCCGTTGGCGCGTGAAGTTCGCATCAGTAAGGATAGAATCCCACTGATCAGCAGTCATCAGCCCCTTCAAGGAGAGCAGAATAGCACAGATTAGACCCCTTCCCCAACAGGTGCGTGTCTGGGTGAGGTATCGGTTTTGTGTCACGCTGTTTTTCATTTGCCATGTAAAGAGAGCACTGCCTTGACGTGGGTGTTAGCACCGGCGTTGCAAGGGGCATGCCAGTGTACGCACACGTGCGTAGATTGTTTAGTAAGTACAGCTTGCCAAGAATGAGCACGCGCTGCTCGACAGTGTTGCCTCCAGTGCACCTTCTCGTCAGTGTTGCGCCTTGAAGGCTCCAGCTCATACTACACTTGCAACAACAGCTTCAAATTCTCACAGCCGTCTTGCTTTGAGCGAAACCGCTGTGCACAAATGATTAGCACCATAGCATAGCATCACCAGAGAGTCGGTGGCTTAGGTATCTTTGCTTGAGGTGTGCTTCGCACACCTCTTCAGAAGCTGTCCCAACACCTGCTTCGTTTATTGTGCCTGCTTTGGCCCAGTTCACCAGCCCGAGGCAACCTGCTTTGTACGCATTAGGGTTTCCTCGCACTTCAAAGTTGCATTTGCCCGCCAAAGCGCGATGGATTCGCGCGAATAGCTGAATGCAAAATGCTATTCCTACAACGACAAGAGCAGCAATTACTTTTACTGTAGCTGCTGCTGCTGCTGCTACTACGAGTGCCGCTATTATTATTATGTAACCGAACTCTGCACCTGAACCCCAGACTGAACTCGGAACCCTCACCCAAACCCGGAACCCTCACCTGAAGCTTGATCCGCAGCCTCGTCCAGAGAACTAGATTCTGTTTGGAACCTGAGCCTCAGCCCAAACCCTTATACCTTCCCCCCGAACCCGAAACCCCTCCCCATTCTTGTAGCTGAACCCGACCCTTGAACTGGACCCGAACCAAACGAATTCGGCACCCGACCTGAACCCTGAACAGAACCCCGAACCTGGGCTCAAGACCGATCCTGAACCGAATCCCGAACCCGATACTACACCAGAACCCTGACCCGAACTCCGAACCCTAACATAAGCCCGAACTCAAGACCAAACCCTTGACCGAACTCCGAACCCGAACTCGAGACCGAACTCGGGACCCCCATCCAAACCTTGAACCGAACCCGGAACCTGAACTCCAGACTGAACATGGGGATCATTAGCCGCCGGCCCTCGAACGAACTCCGAAGCCGAACTCAAAAAGACCGAGGCCGGACACCTCGCCTGAGCCCTGAACTGAACCTTTAACGCGAACTCTGAGACTGAACTTGGCACCCTGACCCAGACCCTGAACCGAGTTCAGGACCCCCACCCCACCTGACCTGAACCGAACCCCGAACCTGAACTTTACGCTGAACGCGGGACCACGCATTGGCCCTCGAACCGAACTTGGAGCCCGTCTCGAGACTGAATCTGATGCCCCCGCCTCCCGGTCCCGGGTTCGAACAAAAGACTGAACTCAGCACCCGTGCCAGAGCTCTGAACCGAACCCCGAACCTGAACTCCAGACCGAACTCACTTGAGATATAGATGCAGGAGGCAAGAGTGTGGGAAGGAAAGAAGGAAGGAAGGAGTATTACAAAAAAGGGTTTGCGGATCACAAAAAAAATCCGCTTGAAATATGGACACAGAGGATGGGAAAGAAGGAGGGAAGGAATGCCGAACCCGACCTCCTCCTACAGC